AACGATATTATTCACATAATGGTAATTATGTAAAAATATATTTATGGCTCTTGAATAACTTTTATTTTTATTTTTTTAAGATTTTGTTTTTATTGGGGAATTGGGGGAAGGGAACAGCATTGGGGAATCGGGGAAGGGGAACACTCAAATTGCTGTCCTTTTGTTCTTCAGTCTAGTTGTGAAGGATGTTGCTTCACTGGCCCATCCATGTTGGTATTATCATTGCTTTCTTCCCGGGTGAGGCAGTTGATCGCCGGCCATTGGATGGTTGCTCATGGCGGCTCACGGCAAACCCACTGCAGCACAGGCTGCAGCCTACGACATCGCTGGCGACTCATGGCAGCCCAGCTCCAGGTCGAGCTGTTGTTCACCATCTTAGCTGTAGAGGGCACAGCATCACTGGCCCTCATGTGGGATCCGAACCAGGGCCTGCTGCTCAGAGCTGACACTCCCAAGCCAACTCTTAACCAACACGCCACTCGGCCGGCCCTCGAATAATTTTTAAATTGTTGTGAGGGACAGGATTGGCTCTTCCAGGGGTCAGCAGACTTTCGAGATGGAACGTACCCAAAGAGCCGCATGTGGCTTGCGGGCCGCAGTTTGCCGACCCCCGCTCTAGAAGATGGGGGAATCAATATCAGGGACAATTAGTTCCATACTCACTTGAAAATATTTTTCTATCAGACCTGGTGGCTTAATCCTCTGAACCTCAGTTTCTTCACCCATAAATGAGGATGTAAAACCTGTTAATGTCTAAACCCCTCTCTGCTTTAGGCAGCCTGTGTGATAAGAGTCTTGTAGCTGAAAAGCAGAAGTTTCAAACTGGTGGCCCCTGTAGGTGCTGAGTTTGCAACCCTGCCCCAAAGAGCAGACCTATTCCATTTATAATATACTCTCTTTCCAAGGCCTCTTGGCCCCCAGTCCAGGCTCCCACAGAAGGAGAACAGATTCCTTAGAGGAATGTTAGAATTCTAAGGCTTGACTCTCCCCAGCCGTCCTCCATAACCTGCCATGGCTCCCCATTGCCACACAGGAGAGTTCCAAGCCCTACCTGCCCCAGCCCTGGGTCATCTCTCCAACCTCAGCCCCTCTTGCTCCTGCTGCAGCCCCCAGACCACTTGCATTTCCCCAACTGACAGGCTATTGCCAGCCCCCCAGACCTTTGCTTACGCCTTGTGCCTAGACTTCCCTGCCCTTCCCTCTCACAGTTCCATACATAGCTCAGCCTCCTCCAGGAAGCTTTCCCACAGGCCCCACACAGAGTCCTCACTGCCCCCACTGGGCCATCCCAGCCCACAGGGCTCAAGGGTATGTGTCCACCTGTGTCACCCCTGGCAAGATCAAGGACTCCTCGAGGGAGGGCCTGGGTCCAGTAGGGCCCCAGCATCACCCAGCACAGGGCCAGGCTCAGTGCAGCCCCAGTGCTGGGTGAACTGAGTAATTAATTTTTGCCCTAGTGTATGTAACATGTTCTCTCCTTCCTTCCCTCCATGCCTCTCTCAATCTTTTTCTTTCTCATTCTCTCTCTCTTACCCCTGGTGTTTCTGTCTCCCTGTGTTTCTCTCTGTTTCTCTATGTCTCTTTTTCTGTCCCCCTCTCTCCCTAATCCCTAAACTCTCTCTCTCTCTCTCCCTGCATCTCTCCCTACCTGCCACCTTCAGGGGCCCCCATGGCGTCTGGACGATGGAGAAGCAGGGCCTGGCCCCCAAGTTCGATACCACCTTTGAGAGCGCACGGCCCACGCAGACCCACATGGCATTGGTACAGCTGGAGCGTGTGGGCCTTCTCCACTTCCTGGTCAGCCAGAATGTGGACGGGCTGCACGTGCGCTCCGGCTTCCCCAGGTAACACCCAGCGGCCAGCCCTGTTCAGCCATGGGCCAGGCGCCCCTCTCTCTGGGTCTCGGTGTTCTCATTTGTACAATGGGTGTTGATGGCAGCCCCTCCCTTAACAGGTTGATGTGATGATTCAGTGAGGCGGCTGGGAAAGGTGTTTGGCGCTATAGGACTTCGTAATCCAATACTGTCATTGTCAGTCCCTCCTGGGCACCTCTCAAGAATTGGGGTCCTTTTTTCCTGGCTGCAAAAATCGCCCTTGAGGTGGGGAGGGGAAGAAATTGGGAGCGGAAGGAGGGGACAGGGTTTAGAGTTCGCAGTTGCATTTTTGTGTTCCTCTTTATAACTTTTATACTGAATGTGAGCATAGGATTTGGGCAGGAAGACTGAGTCCTTAATACCAAGTATGCTGCCCTCTGATCTTACCCTTGGGGACAGATTGAGAGCCTGGCCAGTTTTTACAAGTAGCTGGGCCCTCCACAGGCAAGGGACGAGGGAAAGGACTTGTCTCTGTTTCTAAAGTAGAATGAGGCCCTGCTCTTTTTCTTTCTTTCTTTTTTTTTTTTTTAAAGATTTTAGTGGGGAATTGGGGGAGGGGAACAGCGTTGGGGAATCAGAGAAGGGGAACAGACAAGTTGCTGTCCTTTTATTCTTCAGTCTAGTTGTGGAGGACATTGCTTCACTGGCCCATGTTGGTGTTATCATTGCGCTCTTTCTGGGTGAGGCAGATCAGTCGCCGGCCCCTGGACGGCCGCTCACAGCTGCTCTTTGCAGCTCATGCCGGCTGCCGGCAGCTCACACTGACTGCTGGCCACTCACAGTAGCTTATGGCAGCCCCACTGCAGCCCCGCTGCAGCCTACGCTGTCGCCTACGACTTGCGGCAACCCAGCTCCAGGTCGAGCTGTTGTTCACCATCTTAGCTGTAGAGGGCACAGCGTCACTGGCCTTAATGTGAGATCCGAACCAGGGCCCTGCTGCTCAGAACTGGCGTCCCAAGCCAACTGTTAACCAACATCCCACTCGGCCGAAGGCCCTGCTTTTTTAAAATGGGCCTTAGTCCTAACCCCAGCCCTTTGGCATGGAAATAAAATTTCTCCAGGAGTCAGGCAGCTCTTCTGACCTAGAGATATCACCATGTTCTGGGCCTTCATCCTTTTCAGCAAGTAAATACCTGAGAAAGTGAGACCCCCAGCCTCACTGGCTGGGTGACCCTTGGGCTATTCTGGGCTGTAACCACTGGGCACCTTATTATCCTTCCCATCAGAGTAATTCACTAGACAGCTGACTGCAGACCTTATGGCCTGTGTAGGCGTTTCTATTATAGAAAGGACAGTCATCATTTTCTCACTATATAGCAAATACATTTCCGTGGCACAGAAGTTAGGGCTTTTTACAGGAACATGGAGAAAGCCAGGAAAATCTGTTTCCCTACTCACCTGGACAAGGTCACGTTGGTGTGTGTAGCAGATTGGGAGTGGGCTAAAGCCATCCAGAGATGGAGGGGAGCCACTGGGGGTGGGAGGCAGGAGTGTATTTGGGGATTTCAATGCCTCCAATTTCCCGACCGCTGAGTTTCGTGCCAGTGCCCCTGTCTATGTCCAGGGCACCCCCAGCTCCTGCTGGATGCAGACAGGAGCAAAATGGACCACACTCCACAGCCATTTATTGAGCACCTACTTCATGCCGCACACTGTTCTAGATGCGGGATACAGTGCACGAGACAGATAAGAAGCCCTGCCCTCCTTGCATACACTCTAGTGGGTGGGAAATAGGCAAAAAACAGATAAATAAGGAAATTAAATTTTGTCAGATGGTGTTCATTGGAAGGAAAGGGGAGAGGTGGGCAGGGAGGAGGGTGTGGGGAGTTGCAGCTTTTTTTTTTTTTTTTTGGCTGAGCCATCCTGCCACCTATTGGCAGCTTAGCGGCTGCTCAGCTCAGGCCGGGACTTGAACCACTGTTGCTCAGAGCTCAAACTCTTGAGTGAGCTCTGAACCAACTAAGCCACACAGCCGGCGGGAGTTGCAGCTTTTAACAGGGAGGTCAGGGTGACATTTGACAGGGACATGAAAGAGGTGACAGAGCCATGGGAAGGGCCTTACAGGCCTGATAATTGTTCTCTCAAATATCCCAAGAGTTGGACACTGCTGTCTGATTTCACAGATGGGGACTGAGACACAGAGGTTAAATGACCTGCTGCAGGTCACACAGCAGGGAGGTGACAATGCCAGGAGTTGATCGCACATTCCTCTGCCTCCACAAAGCTCATGCTCCAGAGCCACCCATGGTCTCAGTTTCTTCCTTTGCAAACTGGTGATTAGAATTCCTGTCCGTCAGACCTGGCAGCATCGGGAGGTTCCACCATGCTTATAGGTGGATTTTATGAATGGAATAGGCTGCCCATGTGTGAAAGTGCAGTCAGCTGTAGGGGTTAATGATTTGTCAGGCTAAGAGAGGTTGAGTCATCTGCCCAGGGATACACAGCTGTATGAACCAGAAAAAGAGAGTCTTTGGATCCTGGGGATGAGGGGTTAGGGAAGGCTTCCTGGAGGAGGAGGCTTGGCACCCGGCCTGAAGTCTCAGGATCCAGGGAGCCCACTGTACCACCAAGCCTCTTCTCCTCCCACAGGGACAAGTTGGCGGAGCTTCACGGGAACATGTTTGTAGAAGAATGTGTCAAGTGTAAGACGTGAGTGCCATGTGGGGGTGGGAGTGGCAAGGTGTGGAGACCCAGGCCCCAGCCTGTTTTCTGTCACTTCCCAGGTCATGCTCTGCAAAAGGGCCTTGTGAGTTGAATCTGATGTTCCCAGGGATCCAGGGTTGGGGGCAGGACTAGGGTGAGACCCTTCCAGGGGAGTTGGGGGCACGACTTCCTCCTGGGAAGGTGCATTCATTTCCTGTGGCTGCTGCAACAAACAACCACAAACCAAGTGGCTTAAAACAGCAGAATGAATGGCCTTACAGTTCTGGAAACTAGAAGGCCAAAAGCAAGGTGTGAGCAGGGCTGCACTCTCTCTAAAAACTGGAAGGAGGATCCCTCCTGCCAATTCCAGCTTCTGGTGGTTTCCAGTGCTTCTTGGTGTCCTATGGCTGTAGACGCATCACTTCAACCCCTGCCTCTGTTGTCACATGGCCATCTCCTCTGTGTGTCTGCATCCCCTTTTCTTATCAGGACACCAATTATATTGGACCAGGGCTACTCTACTCCAATGTGACCTTATCTTAACTCATTGCATCTGCAATGACCCTCTTTCCAAATAAGGTCAAGTTCTAAAGTTCTTGGTGGTCGGGGGTTAGGATTTCAACATATCTTTTGGAGTCATACAATTCAACCCATAACAAACAGGGTGTGATGGTGTGACCTCTGCTCCGGGTGTCCCCTGTTGGGGAGCAAGGAGCCTCAGGTGTGAATTAGTGGGGAGAGGGTGTCAGGACTCCTCCCCTGCAGGTGGAATCTCTGAGACCAAAGTGCCCCCACCCACTTGTTATAAAAAATTTATTTTCTCCAAATTTATTTTGAAAAAATTCAAACCTATGGAAAACTTGCAAGAACAGTATGATGAACTCATACTTAACCTAGACCAGCAGTCAACAAATTTTCCTGTGAAGGGTCAGATGGTAGATATTTTCAGCTTTGTGGGCCAGACTGTCTGCCATGACCATCGATTGGCTCTGCCATCATGGACAACATGTAAAGGGATGGGCGTGGCCATGTGCCAATAAAACTTTATTTACAAAAACCTATGTGGAGGGTTGGATTTGATCCTTAGGGCCATAGTTTGCTGACCCCTGACTTAGATTCACCAGTATTGCTATTTTGCTATAATTTGTTTTCTCTCTGTGTATTGTCAGTATTTGCTGTGCTTTTTAAGTTAGTGGCAGACTTCCTCATCCTTTGCTCTGAATCCCTTCAGTCTTTATCTCCCTTCCTCTTCAAGCTTCAGTATTCTCTTCCACAGCCACAGTGCAGTTATTGAAGTCAGGAAATGTAAAAACAAAACATGATGATTCAGTCCCCAGTCCATATCCCCAGTGCTCCCATCGTTGCTACTTTTTTCCTAGTCAGGATCCAAGCCAGGGTCATGCTTTGCATGTGATGTCACATCCCTTTAGTGTTCTGTATCTGGAACAGTGCTCAGCCTTTCTGTGTTTTTTTATGATGTTGACATTGGGAAGCAGCCAGGCCAGCTCTTTCATGGAAGCACCACCCCCTGTGCCCCCATTCTGGATTTGTCAGATGTTTCCTTCTGCTTAGATTCTGGTCGTGTGGCCCCCACTTCCCTGGGAGAACAGCTTCCCCAAAAAGCAAGAACCACTCAGGTAGGGCCCTAAGGTGGGCAGGTGGTGGGCTGACCCCTTCCCCCTCTTCCTGCCCGACACAGGCAGTATGTCCGGGACACCGTCGTGGGCAGCATGGGCCTCAAGGCCACGGGTCGGCTGTGCACTGTGGCCAAGGCAAGGGGGCTAAGGGCCTGCAGGTTAGTGACCCCCCCCCCATGCCCTGGATCTTGGGGGAGGCAGCAGGTCTCCATACTGATCTCCTCCTCCTCCATGGCAGGGGGGAGCTGAGAGACACCATCCTGGACTGGGAGGATGCCCTGCCTGACCGGGACCTCACCCTCGCCGACGAAGCCAGCAGGTCTAACCCCAAGATGAGCCCAGGGAGAGGGAGAGGGGCAGAAGCACAGACAGTTCCAGCATGGGGCAGGGGACTCCAGCTCAGAGGTCGAATCAGGAAAGGCTTTCTGGAGGAGGTGGTGTGCACCCTCCCTGGGCCTTGCTTTCCCTGTCGTAATGGTGGCAGCTATGTACTGAGCATTATCACACCCCTGGCCCTGGGGGTTCTCACCATGGCCCACAATGGATGCAGCACTGGGCCCATTTTACAGGCAAGGAAACTGAAGCTTTAGCAAGGTGGCTCCTCTATCCAGTCCTACCCAACCAGGAAGTGGCTGAGAGGGGAGTCTAACTGCCCACATCAATTTCTCCCAACAGGGTGGGGAGGTGGCTCCTGTAGAAAGGAAGCAGCAGGGACAGGATTCAGGGCAGCTTGGCCTCCCAGGGTTTCAGACGGGAGGGTTGGAGGACGAAGGCTGCAGAGACCCTTGCAGAGGTACTCAGCTCAACCCACCTCCTGGTCCCAGGAACGCGGACCTGTCCATCACGCTGGGTACATCCCTGCAAATCCGGCCCAGTGGTAACCTGCCCCTTGCCACCAAGCGCCGAGGGGGCCAGCTGGTCATCGTCAACCTTCAGCCCACCAAGCACGTATGTGCAGAACGCACCCCTGACACACCCCCACCCCTACCCCCACCCCAGGCCCCTAGGAGCCTCTGCCTCCGCCTGACTCGTGCCGCCCCTACAGGACCGCCACGCTAACCTGTGCATCCACGGCTATGTAGATGAGGTCATGACCCGGCTCATGAAGCACCTGGGCCTGGAGATCCCTGCCTGGGACGGCCCCCGCGTGCTGGAGAGGGCGCTGCCACCCCTTCCCCGTCCACCTGCCCCCAAGCTGGAGGCCAAGGAGGAGCCTCCCAACCATCACAACGGCTCCAGGCCTGCCAGCCCCAAAAGGGAGCTGCTAGACAGTCCTGCCCCCTGCAGGACCCCCAAAAGGGTAAAGGTGGAGGTGATTCCCAGCTGACCAGGGAACTGGGGAGGGTGGGGCTTTCTGTAGAATCCGTGGATTCGTTTTGTTTCTTACCGGTCTTACTTTGTTACTTGTCTTTGTCCTGGGAGGGAGTCCTAGGGCTCTGAGAGCTGTGCTCTAGGTCCTAGGGCACACTCGCCCTCCGTTGGGGCTCCCTTTGGCTCTAGGGGCCTCTGGTGATGGCCTGGGGAGGAGTATCCCCACCTTGGACTTCGACCTTATTGCTGACACTGCAGGCACCTGCTCTTCCCCCTGGCTCCAGCCCCAGACTCAGGAGGTTCTGGGGAGGTGTGGCCAGACCCTCCCTAAATTTCTGGCCTAAACAGGAATTAACTTCCTCTGCCCCTCGGCCTTCACACCTCCCAAACCCTGCATCCCTCAAACCGCCTTCACAGTCCCTCCAGGATTGGAGAGAAGCAGAGCCGCCATTTAGGAGTCAAACTTCATGGTGGGACAAAAAAGAGGCTTGCACTGCCTTTGGGGCTGGAGGGAGAAAGGAGGGTCCACGGCGCTCCCTCCAGGCTTCCAGAAAAGCCTTCAATGCAATAAAAGCAGAACTTCTCGCATCTGAGTCTGTGTTTTATGTCAACAACCTTGTGCCAAGCGTCAGGAGTATGTGTTCCCTGGGACGTCAGCTTGGACTTTCATACAGTCCAGGCCTGGGGGTGAAGGAGGGCCAGACCAGCAGCTGACATTCTTTAAGCCCTCAGTTTGTAATTATATACTCGTTTGCATAGTTTAAAAAAATTTGCCCTAGGGGATGGGATGCTTAAAGGTAAGAGTGCAGGCGCAGCTCTTCCCAGCTGTGACCTCGAGCGGGCCCCTTCACCTCCGACTCCTGTCTCCTGATTGGTAAAATGAGTAGGGTGGGCAGCCCAGCCCTCCAGGAAGCAGCTGCCCAATTCCTCTGTGGAGACCCAGGGATCCCAGAGCTGTTAGGACCTCGTGCTCTAGGCGCGCCCTGCGCTCCGCAGCACACGCACCGCTCTCCAAGGTGCTGAAAACACGCCTGGTGCCTTGGTGGCCACTTTTCCAGCCTAGGTGTCCATGGTTCCCCCATTTCACTCACCCATCCCGGGCTACCCCACCCCCTCCTTCTGGGGGTTGGGAAGCCCCAGTCTCCAATTTAGCCCCCATGCCACTCTGCCTTCGTGCCATTCGTGTTTGTGTTCTTTCAAAATATTTTATTAAGGATCACTGCAGTCTTAGAAAAGGGGGGGTGGCGGCTGTGGGCCATGGTCACCCTGAGTTCGGAGCTCAACCCGCGCTCAGAGGCCAAGGTCCCTGCAGTCTTGTCCGCTTCCTCCTCCTTGTGTGTGAGGGTACAGGAAGGAGTCCCCAGGCAGGGTAACTGAGGCATGTTGTGTGTGTCTGTCTGTCTAGGTCTGTGGATCACTCTGCGTGTCTGCCTGTTTCCTTCTGTGTGGGGGTCAGTGTGTGTATTTCTCAGGCTTTGTAGCCCTATGGTTGCCCTGTGTCTGAGCATAAGTTTCTGTGTGTGTGTCTGGGTCCCTGGGTGTGTGTAGGTGTGTTTGTGCATGTCCATCCTGGCATCTCTGCAGAGGTCTCTGCCTCACCTCTGATTCTGTGCCTGTCGCTGTCCACTGCAGCACTCACTGCAGCACCCACCGCAGCACCCCTGAGCAGATGGGCCTGGGGGCACATCCGGGTGCTGCTCACAGCTCCTCCCCCACAGCCTCCAGCCCCATGCGCCCTGGGCTGAGCGCTGGGTCAGGGGAGACCCAGTCCAGCAGGGTAGTCCGGCTCAGCTCCTCCGTCAAGTTGCCCGGAACTAGGGTAGAGTTGTCGAGCTCCTCCGTCGAGTTGTCTAGAGCCAGCATGTCCTGGGATTCCCAGTCCACCTTGGGGCTTCCTGGAGACCCTTCCTGGGGTGCGCCAGCCTCGGGATAAGGTCCTGGGGCCTCGGAACCTGGCGTGGTGTCAGAGGCCACACGGGAAGCAGCGTCGTTGTGCAAAGTTCTGGAGAAAACTGAACAAGGGTTGGGGGTTCATGAGGGATGGGGTGGGGGCCTGGTGTCCCTTCTTTCCTTCCCTCCCAACCTCAGGAAGCAGTTGCAGGGGGGCCCTTCCCCCTCCCTCAGAGGCCCAGTGTTGGGACTTGGGGAGCCAAGGAGATTGTGCCCACGGTGCAGCCCAGAGGGGTTTTGAAGTCCGAATGACCCTGGCTCACCTACCTCGCACAGGTGTGAAGTCTCCGGGGCTCTCGGCTTTGTTGGGGGCAAAAGGGCTGATGGAGGGGAGGATGATGAGGGCGAAAGAGAACAGCAGGACCTGCCAGAGACAGGGGCGGGGTCACCCCACTCCTCCCCCACCCCTGTGAGCACGCCCATCTCATAAGCAGGGAAACTGAGGCCCAGAAGACTGGATCATGCTTGCTACTGGACCATGCCAGCCATGCTACTCACACTCACCTTCCCCCACCTCCTGCAGGTTCCTTTGCCAAGACTGAGGACCCCCTTTATCCTAGGGACCATCAGAGCGGGGGATAGGACTCACCGCTACACAGGTGCCAGCCTGGGCTGACTTGCTGGTGGACTGAACCACAATGGCCTGGAGTTTCTTCAGCTGCTCCAAGAGGGACCTTAGTGGAAATGAGCAGCCTTGGCTGAGCCCTACAGGGCCTTAGTCTGGCTCCTCATCCATTTCTGGGGTCCCCAGCCTCGTTGATGTCTGAATTCCATCCGTCAGGGTCCCACTGCTCTTACAAATCCCAGACCCTCCCCCTTTGCTTCCATAAATCTCTACTGACATCCCACTCATTTCTCTGCCATCTCACCTCCCCAATCCAGGCTTCCATGATTGCTCACATGGACACCAGCCCCAGCTTCTTCTTTGGTCTCCCCACTGGCCTCTCCTGCACTCCTTAGGGTTCATGCTTCACACAGAAGCCAGGGGGCACTTTTCAAATGTGAGCTGTCTTCTCCCAACACTCTCAGGGTTCCCACCTCCCTCCAAGTAAAAGCCCAAGTCCTCTTGTGGCCCACAAAGCCCTGCATGAACCTGCCCTCACCTCTTTCCTCTCTCCCTCTTGCTCACTCTGCTTCAGCCACATGGGCCTCTGCAGTGTTCCTCCAACACGGCAGGCACATTCCTGCCCCAGGACCTTTGCACAGGCTGTTCCCTCTAAGAACACTATTCCCCCAGGTCTTTTTGTAGCTGGTTCTTGCTCATCCATTAGGTCTCATCTCAAATGTCACTTTATTTGACCTTCCTGTCTAAAATAGCCTTTCACTCTGCTTTGTTTTTCTTCCCAGTGGCTATCACTATTTGGGTGACCTTTTATATATTTTTGTTTGCCTTGAGTATGTCTCCCATTAGATCATGAGTTCTTTAAGTGGAGGGACTGTGTCTGTTTTGTTCACTGTTGGGATCCCAGTACCCAGAACTATGCCTGATGCAGAGTAGATGCTAAATAAACATTAACTAAATGGATGCACCCCTTTGATGGAATTGTGTGCAGTTCCCCAACATTCTCCTAGCCTCTGACCATTCATATGCCATTTCTTCCACCAGGAACAGCATCCCCCTAGTGGGCTCTTATACATCCTCAAGGCCTGAAATCCAAACCCCCTTCTCTGTGCAGCCTGTCCCCTTTCTAGCTGAACCCTTATGCCCTGCTCGGCCCTGCCATCATAGAGGCTGCCCCCATTTTCCACCTCTTTTGTAAGGGACTCTGGAAACCAGCTGCCTATGTCCTCTGCCCCGGCTGCACCAAGACTCACAGGTTCTGCTTCTCAAGATGCAAGACTTTCCTCTGAAGCTCCTGGTTCTGAGCAGTGCAGGCTGACATCCTGCCGAGACAATGTCACAGTGACATTCAGATTATAGTTGTCCCAATCAGATCTTCCTGTGAGGCCCCACTTTACAGGCAGGGAGCCCAAGGCCAAAGAGGGGAAATCACTCAGTCACCCTAGCAAGTCTGTGACAGGGCCAGGATTTGAACGCAAGTCTTCCTGGCTCCTAGGTCCTGGGGGCTTCATTCCATTCTGAGCCCCCAGGATTGGGGATGGAATGCCAAACTCAGACAGTGATGCTTCCATCAGATGGAATGTCAGGGCGAATGGGAGTCCAAGGAGACCTGAGTTACAGTCCTCACCCTCCCCATGACCTTGAGCCACTCAGCTCTCTGCCCTCAGTCCCCTCATGTGTAAAATGGGGTTACATTTACCTAGTTCACAGAGTGATTGGAAGAATGGCATCAAGTAAAGTTGACAAGGGGCTTAGCACATTGCATTTGAGGAACAAGATAGTGGGGGATCATCCCATATAAAGTCTGGGATCCAGGCTCGTAACCCCACCTTTCCCATTTGTATCCATCTGGGAACATGGTATTGACCTGGACCACTCAGGTGTCGAGTTGAAATACTCAAAACCGTGGCATGAGGGTGAGTGGTCCTCATACCGCAACCAGGGAAGAGGAGAAGTTCCCTCACTGAGAGGCCCTCCTTCTAAATAACTCATAAGACAAAGAAAAATTAAATTAGGGAAGACCTGAGGACCACGTGGTAATGACAATAAGGAAAGTCAAAATGCATGAGACACAGCTAAGGCAGTGCTAACAGGGAAATTTATAGCCTTAATTCAGCTCAAGAAGCTGAATATGCACATTTAAAAATTAATGAAAGAACAACAGAATAAACTCTCTCTCTCTCTCTCTCTCTCTCTCTCTCT